TAAATAAAAAGGGTAACTGGCTGTCTCCCTTTGCCTAGAACTGTCCCAATTTTGGCACTAAAATCTCAAGTCCAAGAAATACCTCAGTCTTGAGCAAACCAGGATCTTTGGTTATTCTATATACAATCTTTTCTTTGTTCCCTAACCACTCTTCAGGCACAGATTAGAGGACTGGCACCAGATTACAGTGTTAGACTGATAGAGAATTGATCACACTGAATGAATGCTTTATATGAGGTGTATTAAAAAAAATCCGAAGATGTAGTTAAGCTTATAGTTGGCATATTGTGGACATAGCCCTCTGAGCTGTCAGCTGGACACAAACACTTAGGACTGCAGCCTCAGGTGCCGTTATTAAGGGTAAATTTGAAGAATCTGCTAGACTCCTTTTCATGCAAGAATGGAGTATTTCTAAACTATTTTAATTTATCCACAAATCTTGAAAACCACTCATTTCATGGTGGAGAACTCATTTTGGAACCTATTATATATTTCGTATTGATTAGTGATTACTTTAACCAAAGGAAGTCCCCTTCTAATACTCACTGTTCTGTATTTTTCATGTATAATTCTGATCTCAATAGCTTTTGGGTTACAAGTGGTTTCTGGTTGCATGGATGAATTGTATAGTGGTGAAGTCTGAGATTTTACTGCACCTGTCACCTGAGTAGTGCATATTGTACTCAAATGTAGATCTTATCCCTCACTTCCCTCCTACCCTCTCCCTTCTGAGTCTCCCAAGTCCTCGCTTAGAATAATGGGTGAGAAACTCAATACTGTTTGTTCTCACTTATAAGTGGGGGATAGGCTATGGGTAGGCAAAGGCATACAGAATGGCATAATGGATTGCAGAAGACATTATTACATTCTTTTAGATGGCTAAGTAGTGTTCCGCTGTGTATATATACCACATTTTCTTTATCCACGCATTGGCTATTGGGCACTTGTTTGGTTTCATATCTTTGCAATTGTGAATTCTGCAGCAAGAAATATACAGGTGTCATTACTTTATTTTGAAAAGCCTCTACTGTTGATCATCAGGGCAGTTAGTTGTAGCAGCCTCAGGTTTTCTGATTACACACCTGCTTATCACCAGTAGCGTGTGGAGTAAAACTAACCCTATGCATTTATATAACACTCTGTATGATCAAATATTTTAGAGCTGAAATACCATGTGCTTCAATAAAATCTGAGGGAAAGCCATAGACTGAGAAACTTGGGACAGTATACTTTCTTTTTGTTTTGTTCTGTTTTGTTTTTGAGTTGGAGTTTCACTCATGTTGCCCCGGCTGGAGTGCAATGGCATGATCTTGGCTGACTGCAAACTCCACCTCCCAGGTTCAAGCAATAATCCCGCTTCAGCCTCCTGAGTAGCTGGGTTTACAGGTATGTGCCACCACACCCGGCTACTTTTTTGTATTTTTAGTAGAGACAAGTTTTCTCTATATTAGTCAGTCTGGTCTTGAACTCCCGGCCTCCGGTGATCCGCCTGCCTCGGTCTCCCAAAGTGCTGGGATTACAGGCGCGAGTCACCATGCTCAGCCGGGACAGTACACTTCCTAAGCACAGAAAATCTAAAGAATTATTTGCTAACAACTTTTTCACAATGCTCAGGCTGTCTTATAACAATATCAAACTTCAACAGAAAGAAGGTCAACTCAGTTTCTCTAGAAATAAGATTAAACTCATGCCATTCTAGCAAAACATTGACCTACCAGAGTTAAGGTTTGGGGGAATGGTGCTTGAATTCTAGTCCTTCTTCTACCTCTTAACAAGCTCTATAATTTCAATAAGCCATGTCACGTTTTTTGAATTTTTGTCATCTTTGTTGTAAAGAGTGGCTGATCTTCAAAGTCCTTTCTAGGTCTTTTTTTTTTTTGAGAAAGAGTCTTGCTCTGTTGCCCAGGCTGGAGTGAGGTGGCACAATCTTGGCTCACTGCAACCTCTGCTTCCCAGGTTCAAGCAGTTCTCCTGACTTAGCCTACCACATAGCCAGGACTACAGACATGTACCCCCATGCCTGGCTAATTTTTCTATTTTTAGTAGAGTAGTAGTTGGTAGTTCAAGACCAACCTGGGCAGCAGGGTTTCACCATGTTGCCCAGGCTGGTCTTGAACTACCATCCTCAGGTGATCCACTTGCCTCGGCCTCCCAAAGTGCTGAGATTACAGAGACGTGAGCCACCACACCTGGCCTTCTAGCTCTTTAAAGTATCCAAAATGTAGATTATAATTCCAAGTATTCCAATTTTTTACTTTGAGAGCGATAATTAGCTTTTCCTGTGTTTTGCCCTCATAAAGTAGAAATTTGGCTCATTTTTACACTGCTAATTCTTCAGCCACTCTCTTTGACTTTGGAAATGCTAGATGATTTTGCTGAAGCAGAGAATATACCCATGAAGCAGAGAATATACCCAGAGCATTTTCTCCAAAATCACAAATATTTTAAAAGCTATAGGTATTTTGCAGCATCTTTTAAGAGTCTAAGTCTTTTGATACTTAAGAATAGGGAGCATGTTGCGACCATGGAAGGAACTTTGTACAGACCTTCCGAGTGTGTGTTTGCTTCATATTCGAAGACAATGCCCTAAATAGTCATTCCCTAGGAATGCAGATCTTTCAGCTTTGGCATTAAATTTCTCTAAATGGAATTTGCTATACAGATAAAGCACAAAACACAGCAAGCTTTGACTGTGAGGACATTTCCTTTGATAAAACACATTTAAAAAAAAAAAGTCAATGAGAATAATATTATTTAGCCTCATGTTTATGTGAGAGCAATGATTTTTATAATATAAGGTGAAGATATCCAAACCAATTCTCTAGAATATTTTAGTTGAATTTTCAACTGATGTGCTGCCTTAATCTGACATCTAAATCAAGTGAGGCTGTACACTTCAGGACACAAATTAGAGGACTGGCACCAGACTACAGCAGTTAGACTGCTGGAGAATCGATACAGGCCATTTAAGCATTAGGATTGCCTATGTTTCATTTTTGACACTGGACTTTATGCTTATTGAGTAGGGGAGCTTTAACTCTATGGTGGCAATAAACTCATTAGCAAGTGTCAGCTGGGATTATAACACTTGTTAAATAAATATCACCAGTGCTGACACACAGTCTTAACTCTTTCCTAGGGTATCTGGATATAAAAGGCGCCTAAGCAGTTTTGAGTATAGTGGGATTTAAAAACAATTTTTCTCTCCCATAGACTTGCCACGAGTGCTTGAATTCCATTATTAGGAAGAAATGCCTATGGGTAGAAGACTTATTTTTTCTAGGAACCTCTAACAAAATGATATGCCAGCTAACAGTTAAGAGGATTAGATCAATGCAGTCTTCTTAGAATGAAACTCTAATTAGGTATCTGGGAATCCTGTGTTAGACAAACACTCATACTGATAGGTTGTTTTCAAGAAATATGGCCTCTTCTTCAGAGCATGTTCTCCAAAATCACAAATATTTTAAAAGCTATAGACTGAAATAACCATTGGCAAGACTATGATAAATGGAGTCAGAGGAAGTAAAATGCTGGGTAGCAGGACCTTGAGAAATGCCCTTTATGAAATGTACTTGTGCTTCTTCTAATCAATGTCTCAGCTCTGTCCCCATCTCAAGTTCTCAGTCACAGCCCTGGTTTTCCTGAACTACATCTTTTTGATCTATAAGCGGAACAGGATCACTGCACAGGAAAGCAGTTGGGGCCAGAGATGAGCTTTGTCTGCCACACTGCCTGCTGTAGTGTTGAGTGTTTACTCAGCAGCTGCGTTCCCGTAGAGTCAACTGAGAATTCATCAAAGCTTTGCTTTCAGCTCTTCTCTGGGTCCAAATGAATAAAATTCCCCCTTCTGAGTAGAGATTCTTCTTAAATATCATTAATTAACTTTTAAATAGCTTTTTTTTTTTTTTTTTGGATGGAGTCTTGCTCTGTCACCCAGGCTGCAGTGCAATGGCATGATCTCGGCTCACTGCAACCTCTGACTCTTGGGTTCAAGCGAGTCTCCAGCCTCAGCCCCCTGAGTAGCTGGGATTACAGGCACAGGCCACCACACCCAGCTAATTTTTGTATTTTTAGTAAAGACAGGGTTTCACCATCTTGGCCAGGCTTATCTCAAACTCCTGACCTCAGTTGATTCACCTGCTTCCCCCTCCCAAAGTTCTGGGATTATAGGCATAAACCATTGCACCTGACCAATGTTTAAATAGCTTTAAACTGTGACCCAGATTACATTTTGTGTTCCATCATTGCTGGGTGGGGCGCTTCACCTGCTCCTTCCAGCCAGTTATCCTCTCCTACCTTTAAGCAATGTATTTGCTGTGTATTCTTCAATAACTGCCGTTCCTTATATAAAATATCTTACAATACAGGTCAAAAGAATTTACAACTATCATTGGTCCTTCAGATGTCTTCATATAGTTAGGTAATGGGTCATAGAATTTAGCAGGATCCACAGTTTATGGGCCTACTGTGTCATGTTTTTTCTAAGACAAATTAGAAAGCTGGGTCATTAGGACCAAGGCAAGTTGTTTAATTACCCAAATTATACTCCTGCAACCAACCCATTGTCAAGAAGTGTAGTAGCTGTGCCCTGCTGGCCTAGAGAAGCCAGATGCTGAGCCCTCGGCTCTTAGCCTTACCACAGAGTAACAATTTAATGCCCTCTTCTGGGGATTGTGCATCTGAAAACTTAGAAATATTTAACTGTCTTCAATAATAAATTGACCTGGAACAATTCCTTGTTTAATCAAAAAGCGCTGAGTTTTAATGAAAAAGAATGAATCCATCTACTAAAATGTTAAGCCATGCAAAGCACTTGGAAGAGAGCCTGGTCTGCAGTAAGTGCCTGTACTTATTATTCTCTACTTGACCCCTTAGCGGGACTCCCTTCCCCTCTGGTCATTCTCCCGTCTTCTCTGGCCTGCTCTCTTCCCAGGAAAGAGGACTTCTATGCAGGACTACATTACCCAAATTCCCTTGCCAGCTTCAGTTTGGGGCCAGCCAATGGGAGGAAGTGCCAGGGAACCAGTAGGCGGGAGAAGAAAGACTACAGAACTTCCTTCCTGCCCCCTCCGACTTCTGCCTCCCTCACTGGCAGCAACCCAACCCCTCCATTGCTGACCTCTGCCCACCTCTACCAGTGGTCCTTCCTCTGCTGCAGCAGTGACACTATTTTCTTCCTTTGTTCTTCCAACCCCAGGTAAGTTAAGGTCTTGCCTGTTTTGCTGGTCCTTGGATGCTTCAACATGCCATTTTTGGTTCCTTAATACTGCCGAAATCTCTGTAAGTAGGCCCTTCACTAAAGACTACTAACTTACATCAGTGGTTGTCAACCCTTGCAGCGCAAGACCACCAAGGGAGCTTTTGAAAACTCCCAGTGCCTCCCCTGGCATTCCCAGAGATTATTGTAACTGGCCAGGCTGGGGCCTGGGTACTCATATTGTCTAAGAGCTCTGCAAGTCATGAAGTGAGAGTTGACAGTCGCCTGAGTGAATTCCAGCCTCCTACCAAGACCCTGACTGATATAGCTCAGTGAATGTTACCTGCTGTGGTCATTACAACAACTACTGCCACCTTTATTTCTACTGTGCTAATATTAATAGTTTTCCCCAGTTTACAGATAAGGAAACTTACACAGAGGTTAAGTAATTTTCTTACAATCACATGATTTTTAAGTTAGAGTTTAATTTACTTGGCTGAAAAGCTCATGTTCTTTATGCTTGTTCTATGATATCCTGCAAAGATCAGGTCTTCTGGGTTGTTAATGTGCATATGAAACACTTGGGGATCCTGATTAAGTGGAGCTTTTGAGGAAGGAGTTCTGAGGCCCGAGATTCTGCTTTTCTGATAGCCTCCCAGGTGTCACCAATACTGCTGTTTCAATGACCTTCCTTTGAGTATCAAAGGTGTAAACAATTAGCCACTTTTTTTTTCAAACCTTCAAAAATTCCTCCCCTATCCTCCTCATTTTCATCTGATGATCTTGTGTCCTACCTCACTGAAAAAGGTCTCCAAAGAGATTCTGCCAGACTAGCACGGTCACATCTACCCACTTTCCCACATTTCACATGTACTCTACCTTCCCACCAGTAGCCATAGATGCAATATTTGTACTCACATCCAGAGACATTCCATCCACTGCACCAGATCCCATCTTCTCTTGCTTATGCAGGAGTATTTCTTCATGAATGCTCTCCAGTTTTGCATTATTATTTCTTCCTCCATCCTGAATTGTTTCCATCAGCATAACATGCACATACCATTTTTTTCATCTTAAAAACAAGAAACTTAGTTTTAGTTCATCCCCTGCCACCAACTTCCACTCCAGATTTCATACTTATTTTCAAACAAATTACTTAAATTTTTTTCTACATTTTTTTTGGTCCCCAACTGCGTTTTTCTCAGTGTTAGACTCACTCCACCTTAATCAGCTCTCGTCAAGGTCATCAATGAGATTCATGTTGCTAAATCCATTGGGCATTTCCAGTCTTACCTTTTCATCAGCATTTGGTACATTTATAACTCCCTCCCCCTTGATAGGGTTTCTGTGCCTTGGTCTTTAGAACACCACATTCTCTTATTTTCTCTTCTACCTCACTAACAATTCCTCTGTCTTCCTCACTGGTTCTTCCTCTTATCTCTGACCTCTTTGGCAAGCTCCAGGACTCAATCTCTGGTTCTCTTTTCTATCTACATTTACTTTTTTGATAACATCCTATAGCAGCATAGCTTTAAATATCATACATACGCCAAACTTACACTTCCATCTCAGATCTATCCAAACCCATAAATCCAGCATCCTGTGAAACATCTCCACTGGAATACCTAATGGACATTTCAAACATAACATGTTCAAGACTGGACTTCTGATATTCTTTCCTAAATTTATTTCACTTAGAGTTTTCCCCCATCTCAACTGATGCACCTCCATCCATCCAGTTGCTAAGGCCGAAAATCTTGAAGTAATTACCTCTGTTTTTTCATGCCTCATGTCCAAGCTAACATACATTCCTATTGACTCTTCAAAGTATATCCAGAATGTTGCACTTCTTACCACCTCTACTGCTGCTAGCATCCTTTCCTGAGCTCCTTGCTGGGATTTTTTTTAGTAGTCTCTAATTTCCTGATTCTATACTTGTTACCTAATGAAGTCTATTTTGGAAAAGCATAGAGTGACCCTTTTAAAATGTGAGGTGATTCATATGGCTCCATTGCTTACTATCCTGTAAAAGTGTCCATTTCACTCAGATAATAAGCCAAAATTTTTATATCAGTTAAAGGTATCTACATAGCCCCCCACTTCTTACCCTTTCCAGCGTTACTTCTCTGGCATCGTATCCTGCTACTTTCCTGCTTGATCGTTTCTCTCCAGGCATATTGGCTTCTAGCATGTTCCTCGGACTTTCCAGGCACGCTCTTGCCTTCTTGCCTTTGCACTGGATTTCCCTTGTCCCTCGAATGTTGTTCTTTGAGTATCTGTGTGGATAGCTTTTATATTTCCTTCAAGTTTTCATTCACATGTCACCTTCTCAGTGAGACTTATCCTGATTATCCTCTTTAAAATTGTGACTGTCCTCCATCCAGTAATTCTCTCTGGCTTCCCTGATTTTCATGACTCTGCCAATATATAAATATATATATTTGCAGTATGCACTCGTCTTCTTATGCTTGATAATTATTACCTGGAGTATAAGTTTTCAGCAGAAGAGGGATCCTTGGATTTTGTTTTCTAACATTTTTAAAGTACTTAAGTGTCTGGCACATAAATATACTCAAAAAATTTGTTGAAAAAAATGAATGAAGAGCAATTGTTTGTTACAGTTTTAAGATGACAGATAATAGAATAAACTTTGTCAAGAGCTGAGGGTATAAATTTTTTAAGTGTAGTAATGAGACTCAGACACAACACACAAAAAATGCAAACAAAAGTTTCACATCTTTCTAGACCTAGGAAGAGACCTAGTCATTTCTTCGGACTTCTGGCTATTTAAGAGTGGGATCCATTGACCTGCGAGAAAATTTCTAAGTTTTGCCCTTGTCCAATATCTCAGTCGAAGCAAACAACTATTTCCTATTTTCTGTGCTCAACAGCATTTGCCAATATTTTATGGTATGACAAAATGTCTCATGGCATGGAATTTAGGCTATTGACAGACTGCATAGGGGAATCTAGAGACGTTGAGGTGACGTTCAGTGTTTCACTGCCCAGAGCCCTTGGGGTAATATTCTAAAGAAGAATCAATAACTAGAAGCTAACTAAATCACTTTGTTCTCCTCAAATGTGGACCTGGTTACTTTATCAAGGAAACAGATGTTTATTGCTTTCAGGCAGAAAATAATAAGTCAGGCAGGTTTACAAGCCCCCTTTCCATCTTGAAAGCATTTTTGTCAGCTGCTTTATCCTCAGAGAAAATTACCAAATCAAGCCCTTGAAAGGTAAATGATTAGTGGGTGTCATATGTGACATTTCATTTCTTCTTCCAGGCGGGGATATGGAGATGCTGTTGACCTCCCACTTAGGGAAAAACATTTTTGACAGTAGAGTTTTCTCAGGGCTTTTTCCTGGAGCATAAACATCATGTAACCATATGCTACAGTAGAAAAGCAAAGGAACCTGGCATGAGGCACTCGGGAAAGCTTAGATCATGGTTTACAAACAGTGATTGAATAGCTGACACTTATTATGGGGGAGAAAAAGAATCTCAGGTCCTCTCCCTAAAAGTAGTTTGGAACAAGCCGAATGGGGTCACCTGAAAATCTCTTCATCTTTTTCGATTATCCTAATCTTTCAAAAACCAGTTTCTACACCTTTCAGAAAAATCCAGGGCAGAAAAATGATGGTTATAATAAATGGTGAGCGTCTTTAAAAGTCCATATCCCAAGTTCAGAGAGCATTCAGTAAGGTTCTTCAAACACAGAGGGATACCTGTGAATCCTCCATCATTCAGTCATTGTAATAAAGATTTTAAAAATACATGAGGTGACAATGAGAGACAGAGAATTGCAAGGTCTTCTGCACCTTTTAAAGTCAGGAAAACCCAGGACCAAATGAGCCTGAGGAATCTTTATCCTCACCAGCGTGCATACATTGGAAACAAGTGGAATGGGAATCCAAGCATGGCTTGCAGATTGAATCAATATGTGTTCTACACCCAGGTTGTGGTGTTTTTTGTATGGGCATACTACTTGATAAGGTAGATAGGAATCTTCAAGCTAATCTCAGAGTTGGATCAGAGCCAGCTACTAACAGTCAGCTATGCCATCTGTTAGCAGAGTTAGGAGACTCATCCAGTGTTCCCTTTGTATGTTCTGTTTGATTGTCTGTCATTTCACATGCATGGAGCATACGCCTCACAATATAGGTAACCGCTTGAAGGTGATGGGAAAGCATGCGGATTTGTAGATAGTGCTAGCTTTGTGCTTAGGAGTGCAGGAGAGAAGAAACTGTAGGTGAAATAAAATCTTTTCTTATCCATTGCTTGGTTCATGGCTGAGACCCCTGTAAAGAAAGATTAACAAGAGAAAAAGCATACAAGTTTAATGTAAGTTGTACATGACACAGGAGCCTTCTTAAGGAAATGAAGACCTGAAGAAATGGATAAACCTGTGTACTCTTATGCTAAGTCTGATGAAGAAGTGGCCTTGGAAAAGAAGCATGATTAGATAAAGGTGCATGAACTAATGGTAATAAACTTGGGGAAACTTAAGGCCCATTTGTCCATATTCTTCTCTGTGTCCCTGTACCTCCAGAGATAAAGATATTCCTGTTCTCCAGTTATAGGGTTGGTGCCTCAGGAAATAACTGCTTTGGGAGAGAAGGACCAGGGGAAGAAGAGAGTGGCCTGCCTGCCTTCTGCTGTTTTCTCAAATGGCAAGGTGCCATACACAGGAGTAGCATGTCCTGAATTCCATCATTAACTGTAAGTAAAGGACTGAGTCTTATTTTCTTTATTCTATTTGCAAAGTGGTAAGTTAGAATAATACTGTCAACACAATGAATGTAAGGACCCAGTGTTGAAGATTATTGTAAATTCTACAAATGTTAGTTTCCCAAGTGACATGTAACTGTGTGGCTCCCAGTATAAGTCAGTCAGTTATAGTTGTTCATCTGATTTTCTCGTTCTTTGCTGAACCACCTCAATCATGTTTTGTTTTCTTAAGCAATTGAGTTCTCAGATGGGGAAGGAAATGATGAGGAAATTAGACTGCACCTCTGTAGTATAGACATTGTATGCCTGTCACCTCTACTTATCTAAATATTTTACTTTCATGAACTTCTGTAAAGTTCTTCCAGGGCTACGTGGTACTTTTGTCTCCTCCATATACCTCTAACTATGCAAATTGATGCCTCTGAATAGCATCAAGCATGGTCATTTCACTCAGTTATTGCCTCTAGAGAAGTATACTTCCATGGATGTTTTAAAGGGCAATAGAATATTTCCATGGGTGTAAGACCTTGGGCTTCAATTTTATATACATTATTTTTTATGGTCCTCATTCATGCCCTTAATGATCAAAATACCCACCTGCAGGAGTGCTTATATTAGCAGAAGGGACATTAGAGACATTTGTAGAACCCAAAATCATGCCTTTCAGGAAGTATACACTCTCTTTACCAGCAAGATGTTGCCACTAGTTTAGTGTATATAGATAGAACATTAGGAAAAGGAAGTTAAAAACAGATGAGACAAAAAAATTACTTCTCCAGCACCTACTGCCATAGAACCAAGGATAGGATATAAAATAGAAGCACAAACAGAAAGAGGTAAATGAACAGAAGATATAGGTAAGTGGTTTCAGGCCAAGATCTTTCTTCTGAACAAGTTTCTTGTCAAGGTCTCACATCTTTTAAATAATTTCCTTTTCTTTTTTGTCTTAGTACTGATTCTTTTAAGAAGAACAGTAGTGGTTACAAAGTTGTGATTATTTGCTGAAGTTTTCTTTAAAAAATAGTGTAGAAGGCCATATTGGTGATTATAACTTCTTGTCATTAATAAGGAATATATCAACTGATCTTATAAGAGCTTTTTTTTCCTGGAAGGTTCTGTGGTCAGCCAGAATTTGCCATAAATTACTTGTATAGATTTTGGTCATTTTCCCCAATACAATATAGAGGACTTTTTTGCTTGTTTGTTTGTTTCAATTTATATGATACTCTTTTTAAAAAATATATTATACTTTAAGTTTTAGGGTACATGTGTAGATCATGCAGGTTTGTTACATAGGTATATATGTGCCATGGTGGTGGTTTGCTGCATCCATCACCCCATCATCTACATTTGGTATTTCTCCTACTACTATCACTCCCCAATCCCCCTACACCCTGCTATTCATCCCCTAGTCCCCCACACACCAGGCCCTGGTGTGTGATGTTCCTCTCCCTGTGTCTGTGCATTCTCATTGTTAAACACCCACTTATGAGTAAGAACATGCCATATTTGGTTTTCTGTTCTTGTGTCAGTTTGCTGAGAATGATGGTTTCCAGTTTCATCCATGTCCCTGCAAAACATATAAACTCATCATAAAGGACTTTTTTAAATGTGAGACAGGGTCTCTTTCTGTTGTTCAGGCTGAAGTGCAGTGACAAAATCACAGCTCACCGCATTCTCAACCTCCTGGGCTCAAGCAGTTCTTCCACCTCAGCTTTCCCATTAGCTGAGACCACAGATGCACATCATCATGCCTGGCTAATTCTTGTATTTTAGGGGTTTCGCCATGTTGGTCAAGCTGATTTTGAATTCCTGACCTCAAACAAACCACCTACCTCTGCCTCCTAAAGTGCTGGGATTTACACTTGTGAACCACTGCACCTGGCCCATAATCTTAATAATGAAAATTTTTCTAGATGCAAGAGAGTCAATAGTGGATGCTGGAAATCTATAAAGTAATAGTAATTGTTTATATTTCTGCAGGATTACATTCTAGAGCTCTATAGAGTATCTTTCCTAATCTTCCCTCCAAAAGCTGGATATAGTTGATATTAACCATTCCTTTTGTTATAGCTGAAAAATCTTGATTAATACTGGCCTGCCTGAATATCTGAAAGCCCATTCTTTATCTGCCTTCACCTTTCTTTCTTAGGTGATAACTTGTTTTTTAGGGAAAAAATTTATAGAATGGAAAGTTTAATAAAGCAGCTTTTTATATCCCATTATCTCACACTGAGTCCCTTTCAGTCTCCCTTTGCTTTTTACACCTATCACTGAAGTTCCTTTCCGTTTTCACCTTTTCCTTTCTGATTTGAGGATGTTAGAAAGAAAGTGGTATAGGACACTTTATGTTATAGCCATGAATAGTAAGATATTTCTGAGACCTAATTAAACTAAAGAGCTTTTGCACAGCAAAAGGAATAGTCAGCAGAGTAAACAGACAACACACAGTGTGGGAGAAAATCTTTACAATCTATATGTCTGACAAAGGACTAATATCCAGAATCTATAACAAACTTAAATCACTAAGATAAAAACAAATAATCCCATCACAAATTGGGCTAAGGACATGAATAGACAGTTCTCAAAAGAAAATATACAAATGGCCAACAAACATGAAAAAATGTTCAACAACACTAATGATCAGGGAAAAGCAAATCAAAACCACAGTACGATACCACCTTACTTCTCCAAGAATGGCCATAACCAAAAAATCAAAAAACATTAGGTGTTGACATGTATGCAGTGAACAGGGAACACTTCTACACTGGTTTTGGGAATGTAAACTAGTAAAGCCACTATAGAGAACGGTGTGGAGATTCCTTAAAGAACCAAAAGTAGAATTACCATTTGATTCAGCTGTCCAAGTACTGGATACTCAAAGGAAAAGAAGTCATTATTTGAAGAAGATACTTGCACACACATGTTTATAGCAGCACAATTCACAGTAGCAAAATCATGGAACCAACCCAAATGCCCATCAATCAATGAGTAGATAAAGAAACTGTGATAGGTGTGTGTGTGTGTATACACATATATAAAATACACAAACACATATACATATATACATATATGTATGTGTGTGTGTATGTGTGTGTGTGTGTGTGTGTGTATATATATATATGTTGGAATATATATATATATATATGTTGGAATACTACTCAGCCATAAAACGGAATTAACAGCATTTGCAGTGATCTGGATGAGATTGGAGGCTATTATTCTAAGTAAAATAATTCAGAAATGGAAAACCATCATATGTTCTCACTGATATGTGGGAGCTAAGCTATAAGGATGCAAAGGTATAAAAATAATACAGTGGATTTTGCAGACTTGGGGTAAAGGGTGGGAGTGGAGCGAGAGATGAATGACTAAACATATGATGCAGTGTATAATGCTCAGGTGATTGGTGCACCAAAATCTCACAGATCACCACTAAAGAACTTAGGTAGCCAAATACTACCTGTACCCCAATAACTTAATGGAAAAAATCCCCTTAGAAAAGATATTTATTGGATTTTGAAAATCTGGAAAAAACATTTTTTAAGGAAAGTTAACACTACCAATGTTGGTTAAAGAGAACACACAAAATTTATATAAGTAAACATGATAGAAGGGGAAATTTTTAAAAAATATTGTCCCAAATCACTGCTGTTTAGCATTACAGATGAAGTCTTTCAGTCTCTGGCAGATAGATAACAGAATATATGTAGTGTCTTAAAGTATAGGGACAGAAAATAGAAGTGTGATGTTAAAACTTGACAGAGTATCACACATAAGGAAACTTAAGACAAATCTCACTGAAGAACATTGATGCAACTGACCAACGGCAATGTAAAAGTTTTAAACAGTTTACATTAACTTTTATTTGAATGCCCAAGTTATAAAAGCAAAAAGGTTTATTATTATAAAAATTTTTATCACTCTGACTTCATAGGGTTGATTATTATATAGCCAAGTTTTATGAACCATGAGGTTGCTTTGGTGATTAAGACAATATGAAGGAGGGGACCCTAGATCACAATTGCAGTCACATAGTAGAGAATTGAAAAAAAAAAAGTCATGATTCAAACAGAAAAACTAGTTGCCAGTGGATCAAAGCTTTTCACAGTTTGCCTTATAATTCTTAGGTTAAACTGACCCAGAAGCCTACAAAAGAAAGTATAGGGAGAGTTTGTCTTCTTAATCGCAAAATGTAGTAGTCCACCATCTCTGGCACAATAATTGTTCACATTCTTTACATAGCAATTGTTCACTTTGGGAAGCTTTCATTTGTGACTTATTTTCAATAGTTGGAGGTCTTGGTTTCCATTCCGTAACTGCCATTGGGGACATTGTGGCAGGGGTTTTCCTTCATGTTCTCAAAATGAATGACTGCCAACTTGCTTGAGGGTGAGTTTAAAAACTGATACACATTTCTTTTTTCTCCTATAATGTAACCTCCAAGTTATTTGGCTTCATAAGACAGCAGGGACTGTTCTCTCTTTAATTTCTGGAAGACAATTTAACCCAGGATTAAACAAAATTAATCCATAAAAGATTAAATTACAGGGCTGCTTGGTACAATTAATAGGTGAATATGCTCTTTGATTCTCTAACACGGAAACAGAGAATGGCAGATTTCTACAGCTTTGTCATAGAACTTTTTCTTCAAAGAGTGCAACTGTTCAATAAAATATACTTTGGAAAACCCTAGAAGTAGTCCAGTAAAAGTTAAGAACAGGAGAAGCATGTTGGATATCTCTATTTTTAATTATTATTTCTGAAGGGCTGGTACAATACAACAAAATAAGGAATTTAATGATTCAGTGTTTTTTTTAAAAAGGTAACATTTGCTTTTGAAGTTTGTGCTTTTTCTCTTATAAAATGCAAAAGAATGAACTAAAACACTATTGAAATTTATAAAAGAATTGCAAAAGAACATTACTATAACATACAACCTGTCCTGTAAAAGATTACAAAGTAAAACGAAAACTTAAAAGCTCCCTTTC